AGCTAGAATTAGGAGTGAGCCAGTCCCCTATGTCTCTAGTCCAAGCTTGTGCCAGGCTCTGAGGGGGAAATCCCAGCATGAGTTCTGTTGGATGGTGGTGGAAGAGAGAAGGGCTGGGCAGGTGCTTTGGATTGGGTCTGCTTGGAAGCCCAGGAATACAATACATAATATGACGATGACAGTGATGCTATGTAGCATTGGCTGAGTGCTGTACAAGCCCTAATCCTGGGCACTAAGTTATCCACCCCGGCCCATTTAAAGATGAGGAAACTGATGTGCAGGCAGATTCCTCACTTCCCTGATGCCACATGGCCAAGAGGCAGCGGGGCTGGAGTTGGGGCCGGGCCCTTGTACAATACAGGTGTGCGTTGTTGATAATGACACAGCTCTCCAGGTCCACGTGGTCATACGCTGTACACAGGGGAAACCCAAAGCCCAGAGCTCAGTGTCTAGTTATTCAGTTAAACACAAACTGGATCTGGTTGAATAGAGCTTTCTTCTGTCTTGTTTGTCTCCTGGTGTTATTTGGCCTCTGTTGCCTTTCCCAATTCCCGTTCTTCCTTATGCCCCTGGTAACTCAGTATGCAAATGTCTGTGGAGATCCTTGGGACCCCAGTGAGAAGGACCTCTACTCTGCCACTGGACAGAACTGCAGTAGAGATCTGTCCTCTTGATTTTTCTGCCAATGAAAATCTTTAATATGTCTTCTCAAGTTCAGATCTGCAGCCCTCTCGGGCTCCCAAAGTTTTGTTTCAGGAACTCTAAAAAGGGGGAGGCCCCTGCCAAAGTGAATTTCCTGGATGCCCCCAAGAGTTGCTTGGCTTACATTTTGAGACAGATACTCCTTAACTTGTCATGTAATTTTGGTGAAAATCTGTCCAGCTATTTCGTGGGACATAGTAACAGACAAATAGCCTGGGACTTTATTTCATTGGTATAGATTATAGTTGTTGGGGGACAATTGTCTACCATGGATCTTTGTCTCTCCAGCAAAGGCACTGGTTGCCTTCATTCTGAATTGTCTTTCCAAGGATCCTTGCATGAACAGCCTTGGAAGGTACAGATAGTATCTCCCTTTGGAGCAAAGAGCAGGCATGATTACTGGTCAGTATAAAAAATTAGGGGTCCCCAAGCTCAGATGTGCAGGTGTCACCTGGCCTTCTTTGCCCTGCCTTGTGGAACTTGTGCGAGACAAAGCCAGTACTCTGCCATGGCCGTTGCTGTGAATGATAGACTGTCCTTTGTCTCTGACCCAAGAGCCTTGTGTCTTCTCTGCCAGTATCCAGGAAACCGTAGCAGGCTTACTTTTCAGCTTGCAAGTAGGGTAAAGTCTCAGACCATTCAAAGTTCTTGATAATGATGATACTGAGGAGAAGGAGGAGGAAGGAGAGGAATGAGTGAGGATGTGTAATGTTGAGGAGGGCTATTGGGACTTCATGGTTTTACTAAGCTCTTCGGATTTTCAGGGATCTCCAGGCTGGATATTTCTTGGGCAACCTCTGAAGGCCAGACCTGGAGCCGAGAGGTGGATCATAGAAAGAAACACCACATATTCCTGAACCTGGAGATGGGTAAGGTACTGAAGAGAAATGGGGGGTGGGCACCCTAAGAGCTGTCAAGCAGGGTACAGGGAAAACCCCGGGAGCCCCCGATCCAGTCCAGTCTCTCTCTCACTGGGGCTCTCGGTCCCCTCCTTTGTCTCTGAGTTTGGGTCCCTCACACCTTGGGGGCTTGGGAAGGTTCTGCCCTGGGGACCCAGGCTGATGCTGCTCCCTCCCCAGCAATGCCCCCCCCACCATGGGTGTGACACTCATTCACTGCAAAGGACCCGGAAGCTGTGGTTTCCTTCGGGGACAGCCCTAGGTTTCGGGGAAAAGAAGGGGCTGTCCCTAAACATAGCATCCCCAGCTGCTCCCCTAACCCTGCCCCTGCCCCTGCCACGGTCGCTGGGCAGACGTCACCACCACCGCAGACCACATCCTTCTGTGGTGGCCACAGTCGGAAATCCTCATGTGACTGGATCCTGGGGGACCTTCGAGTGCTGGGCTGGGCCTCCCCAGCTGATGCAGCTGCAGCTCTAGCCACTCAGGCCTGTCCCTAATCTCTCCTGTTCTGAGATGTGCGAGGGATGAATTCAGTCCTAGACAGAGAGGTCTGGCCCCAGCTGTCCCACTCAATGGACCCCCTGCTCAGAGTCCCTGGCACGTCAAAAGAACCCTCTGGATCCTGCCTTGGCCCTTCTCTCTCAGAGCACAGGGGTGTGTCACTGTCCAGTCCCTTCTGCCCTGCTCCCATGTTCAAGGGCTCCCCATATCCTGGCATACTGTGGGTCAGTCCCCTATCCACACTCCATCCCACAGAGCCTAGGAAACTGCTGCCACCAAGGACTCCTCTCTCCCTGACCCAAGGGTCCCTAGCTCCCCACCCTCCCCCACTTTCCCTAAACTCAAGCTGACTGTTCTTTCTCATCTCATCTTGAATTTTTCACTGTTGGGGCCGGATTGAGAGGCTTGAGGCACAGAGTGACAAATGACAAAGGCTCTGAATCTCTCAGAGAACTCACAGTCTGGGCTGACTCCACAACTCCCGAGCCCCTTCCAAGGGGTCCCCAGAAGCCCCAAAGACCCCAGCTGGCTTCTTTGGTGGTGCTGGGGTGGCAGCCCCCACTCCAGCTCTCCTGTAGATGTCACAGATTCGCTGGCCGAGCAGGGATCTGCTAGCTCCTACTGATGAGGAAGCAGAGGTTCAGGGAGGGTTTCTTGCCTGAGACGCACAGCAAACTGGTGTAAAGAATGTGTCCTGGGATTCACCAGTACTAGCCTGAGGCCTGAAAAGAGGTGGAGCCAGCCCAGAACTGCAAGGTGGGGTTTGGGGAAATTTTTTAGTTCTGGAGAGCGGCCCTAAGGGAGAGTCCAGTAGGGGGCAGCAGAGACCAGCAGTAGCCAGGCGGGGAAAACCTGCTGCTCTTCAAAGAAGGAGGCCCAGACCTAGGGCAAGGCTCCAGCAGCAGGGGCAGGAAGGAGAAGCAGGGGCTGGACCCTGGTTTGGCATCCTCAACTAATGCCCACCTCACCCCTGGGACCATGTCTGGGAAGCCATTGTGGTGAGTCAGATCCTGATACTTTGTTCACTGTAGGTTTGGATGCACTAATTTGATTTTTTAAATGATGCATTAAATATTATTTATTGGGTTCATTAAGTTTTTGGATGCTCCTTTAAATCATTCAAGGTGAGTGCCTTACTCACCTCACCCTGGTCCACATTCTGTCTGGAACTCCAGAAACACCCTGTAGAGAAATGCACAATGCTCTGCATGGACACATGACTGCAGGGCTCGAGGATGTGGTGCCAGCTGGCTTGGTCAATGTCGTGTCCCCAGTCACCTGACTTCGTCTGGGGCACCTACTGGGTCCTCCATGAATATTTCTTGGCCAAATAAATAAATGGACCAGATTCAACGCTAGGCCTATCTGGCTGGAACTTCTTCCTTCTACCCAGTGACCTCGAGGCTGGCAAGACCCCTAGGGCTGATCTCACTCACAGCCCAGGTGACCACCAGCTCAGCCCTCCATCACCACCCTCCCATTCTCACCCAGCAAAAGGGATCACAGGGCATCAACTCATAGAGACGTCATCTATCCCTGGTACTGGCCCTGAGGCCCCAAATTAAATTCCTAAACACGAACTACTTCTCCCTTGGGGGTCTCTCACGTGGTCATTTCTATCAAAGGAGGAACGAGCTCTTATAGGACTGGGCTAGCTGACCCTGTACCTCCCACCCTGCGTGTGCAATGGTGCATGTCAGATGCCTAATAATTGGATACTAGAAAATTGGGGAACACATGGGCTGTATGTAGGGCTGCCTAATAAGACGTGGGAATTTGGTTTGCCTTATCATTACCCTGCTGCTGGCCCCTTGTGGAACCCCATCCTTCTCTCCCTTTGTCTGCTGGAGCCCTGGCACCCTCGTACGGTCCCTGAGTGGGAAACTCCCAGTCCGCTGTGCTGCAGCTCAGTTCCTGGGTCATAACACATGTCTAGGAATTTAAAAAACCCCACTCTCTTCCATTATCACTTTTCATGCAGCGGTGACTGTTGGTGCAGAGCCCTGAGATCAACTGTGTCAACTTACCTTTTATTCCCAGGACAGTCTTGCCCAGCAGAATTAGGGTGAAAACTAGTGACTTTCAGCTGGTGTGAGAAGATCTTAGGTATGCCATGAAAATGTTCAAGGATCATTAATTCAATTTTCAAAAGAACTTCAAAGCACAGTAAGCATATTCTTTTTTTACCCCCCACCCTTTTTTTGATCAACATAATTTAAGTGTGCTGGGGAAGTTTAACTATAGGTTCAAGTGTGCCGTGAAATAAAAAAGGTTGAAACCCTCTGGTGCAAACAGTAAAGAATTATCACTCATTGCTACAGGTAAGGCCTATAAACCAATTATCCAGTTAAACAGTGGCTCCCCAAGATAGACAGTTCTCACCTGGGGAAATTGTTCATTTACCCAACACATATTTACTAAGCAAAAATCAATTCAAGATCTTCCCTTCCTTGTGTCCACCCAACCTGTGTTGTGACATCACGGATGTGATCCAGTTCTAGTAAGTTCCTTCCTTCTAAGACCTGCCTAAAACCACTCAAGGGCAGATCCCCAAACCTTATAAACCTACTGCCCTCCCGCTCTGAGACGCTGCAATGACTTGGAGGTTCGTTCTCCCTTACTGATGATGGACTCGGCCCAGCCCATCTATCAGGGTTTTTGGTGGTCTCTGGGAGCTGGTGTTTGAGCGTTAAAATAGCCTGCTCAGTTTTCAGTGGACAAGCTGAACCTGAAAACGGGCAGAGACTTGCTCTGCAACTCTTAAGAACGTAAGGGCAGGGCGGGACTAGAGACTTCCCTCCACATGGAAGGCTATGCCCCACTCACTGGGGAAGGGGAGTCAGGCTGGGCAGGTAGGTTTGTGTCTCACTTCCCCATCTGCCTGTGTCACTGTGAGCAGTGTCACTGTCCCACACCCCACAGTAATAGTCAGCCTCATCCCCAGCCTGGGCCCCGCTGACGGTCAGGGTGGCCATGTTCCCCGAGTTGGAGCCTGAGAACCGCTCAGGGATCCCTGAGGGCCGGCTGCTATCAGACATGACCAGCACAGGGGACTGGCCAGGCTTCTGCTGGTACCAGTTAGCAACTTTTCTACCAATGTTGTTTCCCCCACAGGTGATCCTGGCTGTCTCTCCCAGGGCCACCGACACAGAGAGTGGCTGAGTCAGCTCATAGGAAGACACAGAGCCTGCAAGGAGAGAAAAGGGGAGGTGGCTTAAGATGAAGAACCCTAGGAAAAAAAAACAAGAAAGATGAAGAACCCTTCCCAGGAGATCCCCTGCCTGTCCTGGACCAGCTCAGGGATTCTCTGGGCACACAGGCGGCCCCTCCGTCAGTCTCAGACTTGGCTGTAAGATGGAACCAGTGAACAAACCAGCAGTCCCACCACCCTCTCTGCTGACAGATACAGCCCTTCAGATCACCCAGTCCAGTGAGCACAGCATGGGGGCTCTGCCCCTCAGCCTGCAGCAGAGTCAAGAGCCCCTTGCCCACCACAGGTAGGGCCCTGCTGAGCTCAGAGTCAGGCCCACTATTGTCCCTCAGCCCTGGGACTTGGTGAGTGAGGGAACCCAGGGCCAGCACCTGTGCAGTGAGTCAGGAGGCCCAGGAGGAGAGGGGTCCAGGCCATGGTGGAGACACCCATGATGCTGCTTCTGAGGCCCAGGCTGGGCAGGTGCCTCCCAGGCCTGTCTTATCCCCTGGTAGAGAGAGCTGCCCAGGATGCAAATGAGCCCGAGTCAGGGGCTGCTGCCTGAGGAGCTCTGTGGTTTCCAGACAGACTCAGCCCAGGGGCCCAGGGGCCCGGGGGTGAGGGCACTGCAGACCCACCCTCAGTCCTCAGATTCTCCTCCACTCTGGGTCTATATCTTTACCCCAGTCTTTGCCCAGTCTCACTCCTGCGCCGCTCTGGTCACGGCCAAGCTAGGAGATGAGTCTGTCTGCATTTCTAATCCTATTATCTTAATGAGGAAACCAAGCTTCACCATTTGTGGGCTCCTGCCTCAGATGACAGCTGCCGAGCAGTGAATTCCCCTTCAAGCTGCTCTCATGACACATGCACATGGAGGGGTGTTGTGTTGGTTTGTAGAGACAGAGTCTCACTTATTACCCACTCTGAAGTTCAGGGTGTGATCATAGCTCACTGCAGCCCGGAACTCCTGGGCTGGCTCTTGAGCTGCTTGGACAGCAGGTGTGCACCACCATACCTGGTTTAATTTTAAAATTTGCTGTACAGATGGGGTCTTGTTTTGTTTCCCAAGGTGATCGAGAACTCCTGGCCTCATGGGACCCTTTCCCATCTGACTCTCAAAGTGCTGGGATCACAGACACCCACCATGGCGCCTGGCTCACCTGGCGTTATTAATAACAAATCAGAGCATAGAACTTTCCACACTTGTTGTGAGTGCCTGAGGCAGTGCCCTGTGCCTCACTGTCCCCAGTGTGCTAGAAGTCAGGGTCAGGCCCAGGGCTTGAGGAGTATTTGTCATTTACAGAGTTTTATCCTCCTGGGGTTGGTGGGATGAGGCAATGGAGTCTTGTACCTGAACAGAGATACATGGAAATTATACAATAGAGAGATGTGTGAGACTCGGAGACAGAAGAATTTCTGCTTCGGTGTCAAGTCGTCCCTGAGGTCGACTGGCTCTGCCAGGTGACTCTGCCGCCCCCTGGTGGCCGCCCCACACTGGCTGCTGCAGCTCAGGGGCCTCCTGGGTCCAGGTGCAGTTTCACAAGCTGCGGCTCAGGTCCCTGCGGCCCTGACCCATGAAGGGGTATTTCTGGAAGTGCTACATTGAAAAAAGGCACAAGTCACAAGGAGTATGTGTGGAAGAGCTTAGGCCGTCCTCTTTGGGGAAGATTCTGGTGAGTTTGAGGATCTTCTGAAATAGCGACAACCTGAGGGTTCAAACCAGTTTAGGTCCATGGTGACATTTGCATATATGAAGGATTTGGGCCCAGAGTGACGTGTACTCAGGTGTGGGGAGAGGGATTTCCAGGTAACATGTCAGGTTCTCTAACAGTTGCTTAGCCCACATGGGAGCCTCTAGGATCCCACACGGGTGAGATTGTGGTGGGCTCAGAGCAACCCCCAGGCCCTTCCCTAGCTCACCTAGGACTGGAGATGCTCAGGGGAGGGGTTCCTGGACCCTCCTTCCTGTGTCCACCAGGCAGCCCTGTGGAGAATGGTTCTGCTGCCTGGACCTCAGGTCCTGGGCCAGATTCCTGGGGTTCCCTGTGCACGTCCATCACTGCTTCTTCTGTGGTTCTGTGAGCCAGGTGCACAGAATCTGGAGAGTACACTGGGCAGAGAAGAGAGCTCTGATGGAGGGAGTGACAATCCCAAGCTCGTTCAGGAGAATCTGAGCCAAGGATGATCAGGAGCCTCTAGACCCCTGCCAACAACCTCTTCTCTGGGCACTGGGACCAGTGTGGCCTGGGGGCAAGGGTGTGAGAAACCCTCACCAAGGTGTCCCACCTGGATGGAGAAGCTTATCCCTGTGGACTCTCCCAGCCGCCTGTGGGGGGCGCTGCTGCACTTGGACAGGGGCAGGGCAGGGCCTGGGAGAGGAGCCAGCTTCCTGCTGGCTGATCAGAAACCCAGCAAAAAGTCTTTGGTCAGAACCAACTGGGGCAGGTTTTGACCATCTGCATGTCTAAAATGATCCTTGAGTCACTGCTTAGGTCTCAGGGATCCTGTGAATACAATATGGCGTGTGGACAGCTCATGGTCCCCTGGAATGAAAGGGAAATGGTATGTGCAACAGTCTAATTATAATTATTATATAGGAGTGATTTCCTTGTCCTGTGTCAATCCCCTTCTTTGAAAATTAGACATCAGCTGTCATGGGAAGGAACCTACAGGAAGCTTCTCTTTGTTCTCTCTAAAAATTCTATACTTCACATTTCCAAATTACCAAAGAGAATTAAAAGTAAAGTGTGTAAACCATGAGATATATTAGTGTTGAGATCATAGACATGGGAGACACCCAGCTTGTCGCACAGCTTCCTGGGGAGTTGTGAACAGAGATTTCTTTTTACAGGGCAAAAAGCACAGGCTTAGGGCAGCCCAGGGAGCCCCAGGGCCCTTCTCATATACTGGTTTCCTGATTTATTTTAGCCCAGGTTTTGGTGAAAAAGGATTAATTTTGAAGCTAGAAATAAGGAGTGGCATTGATCCACAAATGACGGCCTGAGCTGTGTTTGTGCCACACAGAGGGTGACTCTGGTCAGACAAGGGAGGTTCAGGGACATGGGTCCTTCTGCACAGGAACCAGCATACAGACTCCGTCCTCACACTCCCAGAGCTGTCCTGACACATCAGCAAATGTCATCCTAAGAATGGAGTCTGCTCTTCTCCCAGGGCTTTATCCTCTCCCAAGGCCAAGGTGTCAGGGACAGAATGTAGGAGAACAGATGCTTCTCCTTCCAGACTCTGTGATGACAGAAGGAAAGACTGTGGGTTTCTATAACAGGCACCAGGCCAACTAGACACATTTTCCATCCCATAAATCAATGTGCTGCTTTTTAAAGGGAACTAAATTAACGTTAGAAGTTGAATGCATTTCAAATGAAAGTCTTTCTGGGAACGTCACAATTTGGTGGTAGGCCTTCTGAGCTCCCTGCATCGACAAGGAATTGAGTGAGTTGAGACCACGGTCGTGGTCAGAGCTCAGAGAGTGAGAGTGAGGCTGGGGAGGTTCCTGTCCCACACCCCCATCTGTCTGTGTCACTGTGAGTCACTGAATGCTGCCCCCACTGTCATCAGCTCTGGTACAGTAATAATCAGCCTCGTCCCCAGCTTGGGCCCCACTGATGGTCAGGGTGGCCGTGTTCCCTGAGCTGGACCCAGAGAACCGCTCAGGGATCCCGGAAGGCCGCTCACTATCTCTATATATCACCAGCACAGGGGACTGGCCTGCTTTCTGCTGGTACCAGGAGATGTATTCTTGGTCAAGTTTATCACCAGAGCAGGTGATCCTGGCCGTCTGTCCTGGGGACACTGACACTGAGGTCAGCTGTGTCAGCTCATAGGGAGACACAGAACCTACAGGGGAGAAGAAGGGAAAGAGCTTAAGAATTAGAGTCCCTTCCCAGGGTCCTGCCCTGAAACCGTGCTGGGCTGAGCTCAGGGTCCACACTGGCCCAGCTCAGGGTCCTGTAGTGGCTGACCCTGGGGCAGGGTCTGGGGACAGCACCTGTGCAGAGAGTGAGGAGGGGGAGCAGGAGAGGGCTCCAGGCCATGGTGACACCCCCCACAGTTCTGCCTCTGAACCCACAGCACAGAGGGGCTCCCCCAGCCTCTCTTATTCTTCTCAGGCCCTGTGGGACAGTTGAGTGTTTGGGGCATATGCAAATTTATGTCCCCTGGGCCTCCTCCTTGACAGATTCACTCAACCAGCTGAGGGGACAGCACAGAGACTGAGCAGGGAGGGCTGGGGCCCCAGCTTCCTCCATCTGCTTCTCAGGACAGCAAGTCAGACTCAGGATCCAAGGCCTGCGTTCACAGTCCCCTTCCTCACGACTGACCCTAGAAGCACTGTCTCAACCATCCTGGCTGTGGTGTGTCCTGGACCAGGCTCAGCAGGGCTGTGCCCCTTCCAGGAGCCTGGCCATGGGGCTGAGCTCAGAGCTGCTGACATGACAGATCACAACAGACCCAGCATGAGGGAGACACAGGCCACCATCTTCCTCCTCCTCTGTCCTCCCTACAGGTCCCCAGAATCACTGAGGTCTCACCTGGTCATTTCCCCTGGATCAGGTCCTGGGTCATTTAGATGCTGTAGTGATTTCTGATTCCACAGTCTGGTCACTCAGCACCACACCCCTTCTGTGGGAGCCTCACACTCCAGGGTCACTGCACATGGGGTGTCACAGCACACTGGCATCTGTCACCCTCATTTTTTCCACTCTTGACAAGTGTCTTTTCAATGTTTTGTGTGAACTTGGAAAAGGCACCAGAACCCACCTGAGGATGCAACCAGGGTTGCATTGTCTCTGTGAGGACACCAGGGTCACTGTCTGCACAGGGCATGAGGTCTGGAGTGTGAGGGTCTGTGGTCCCTCAGTGAGGGGGATCTGTCACTGCAACCAGGACAGGCCCCTTGGGCAGCCCCAGCCTCCCTCCTCCCTCCAGCCACTCCAGGCTGCAGTTTTGCCTCCCCCTACTGGAGGAGGACACTCAGAGTAGGTGCTTCTCTCCCCTAGGGTTCCCTGACATCACCTGTCACCTGGGAGGTGCGGAACAGAAAGTCCAGCCTCACTGGGTACCATTGTGACCAGCTGCCCTGCACAGCCACACACAGAGGTCCATGTGCTGTGTGCAGGGAGCCAGAAGAGTGTGGCTTCTGTAATCCCCTGTGAGTGCAGAAATTCCTTCTTGGATTCTTGCTTTATGACTGAAGGAATGCGAGGTAGAAGACAAACTGTAGGTCTTCTGCAATGTGACAGCATCCTGAGAAACACCTGTGACCTCAGATAGGGACCCAGACTTCCTCCATAGTTAGGAACCAAGACTGACTCTCCCCCTCCAAATTAGAGCAGCTGCAGGTCACTGGGAGCCCCACAAGTTCCTGCCACTAGAGCTCAGTTGTGCCCTCACATCCCCCTCATCAGTGTCACCATCAGCATCTCTGTCCCCAGTGAATAGCGTGAAGAAGACATCGCTCCCGCTCTCCAGGCTTCCACGTTCTCAGGGAACAGCAGGTCAGGGAATTGAGTCTCTCACTTGTCCCAGGTTGTGCTGAAAGGGTGGGAAACCTGCCACTTCCCAGGGTTTGAGGTCTGTGCTCCCGAAAGATCTCAGCTCAGATCTCCAGGAGCTCCCAGTGGGCCTCAGTCTCACTGAACTGTGCTCACTCCACCCAGGAGTCCAGAAATGTGTCTGGATTCCCTTGGTATTGTGGTTCTCTAATATTTGAGTTTCTGGTAACTCCAAACAGGTTGTCCATTGAAACCCTGGTCCTTGCAGAGATGTTTTCACTGGTTCATGGGATGGGAAGTGTCCCTGAAGGGCCCAGCCCCAGCACCTGTCCGCACTTTCCAAAATCACTGATTGAGAGTCAGTCCTGCTATGGAGCACAGGGTCTAAGGGAGGGTTTGTACAGAGGCGTGTGACACAGCCAGGGATGACACAGGAAATGAGAACACCTCACAGTCCCCTCACTTCTGGCCCATGTGACCCACATTTCCAAGGTTCACACAGACCAGGTGGGTGATGAGTGGCTGAGATTCAGGGTGGGAAATCCACCATTAGACGGAAGATTCCTCCCCCCTCCCCCACTCCTCCAGCACACACTGTCCCCTAGTGCATGTCAGGGGTAGGACATCCCCAGCCCCCGTGTCCCTCTGTGCAGCTCAGTGCCCAGCAGCTGTAGTGACCTTCTCTATGAGCGTGTAATCTGAAGTTGACTCAGAGATAGGCACGGTCCCACAGGCACAGCAGCGGGGCTCAGCAGTGCACAGAAAGCTGGGTCCTGGGGCACAATGTGTCTCACTGCACAGCCTGCTCAGTCCTGCCGTGCAGAGAAAGGACCACCGCCACCAATGCACAGTGTCCTTTAGGATAGTTTTAGGTAGTTTTATTCAAGCTTTTTCCCAAGCCTCTGGTTGAAGTAACCCTGCTTGGGAAATACTGGGCCAATACAGCTGACAGTCGATTGTGACCTTGGGAATCGTAAGGAATGTGACTGGTAACAGAGTTAGCCATTTAGGGGTCCAGTAGGGAAGTGTGACCTTGGAGGGAACAGGAGAGCATAGTTTACAGTTTCAAAGAGAAAACCAGAGCAAGAGCAAGAGCAGGACAGAGAGAGAGAGAGAAAGAGAGAGAGATTTCAGCATATAGAAAAGGAGAAACCGTGTGTATTTCAGTGTGTTTGCAATTTTTATGAAAAGTCTGATTCAGAAGTAAATTATTTTCCTTTAACTCCGGAGTATGTAATATTTGTTTTTTAATTTGCGCTGGTAAAATAGCCTTGGATTTTGCCCTCATAAACATTTTTAGTGGGAGGAGCAAGATGGCACCGAGTAACAACTTCCTTGCAACGGGGCACAGTGAGACTGGGGAGAGAAGTCTCCAGGCAACTCTGGCTGGTGGAATCTGCCCAGAAACATCCCTTGGCGGGGGGGGGGGGGGGGGGGGGTGTGACACAGGGAGTCAGTGAAATACTTCTAGACTCTACAAGGAGAACAAAAGCAGTGGAGAACTGGCAAGTAGTTGCATGTATTCGTTTGGTCTAATCCCGCTGGCAGCAGTAAGTACAACAGTATTGCAAACTGGAAAAGTCTTACCTGTGAGCTGTTTTGGGTTTTTTTGGACTTGGCTTTCAGTTGAACTATCTTGGGAGAACTTGGGCAAGAGTGGGGAGGACTTTAAGCATTGTCTAGGGCCCCAGACTAAGTCACTGAGCAGGCTGGAGCTAATAGTGTTCCTCTGTGGGCCAAGCAAAGCCATTGTGAGAGAACTGCCCTGACAAGCTCTGCCCATGGGGTCACAGAACAAGGATCAGGCGGGAGACCTTGGGTGAGTTATCTAGTGACTGAGCAGCCTAAAGGCGGGGACTGAGACACCTTACAACTGTGGCCCTAGGGGGCATAGAATGAGAGAGTTTTGGCACACTGAGACTCTTCAAAACTCTAGCGCAGAGTCATAGTAACTTAAAGAGCAAGAGGAAGTGGAAGGAAAGTTAGGGCAAGGAGGCAGATAAATCACTCATGAGGAAGAATCAGCAGAAAAATCCTGGCCACAGGAAAAACAAGTCCAGACCCACCCCCACCCCCAAGGGACTATGAGGTAGCTACTGCAGAGGATTCCACCTATAAAGAAATGTTAGAGATGACAGGAAGGGAATTTAGAATGCAGACTATGAAAACAATGAAGGAAATGATGGAAACAATGAAAAAAACTGCTGATAAAGTGGAAAATAGCCAAAAGGAAATCCAAAGACAGAATCAAATAAGAGATGAACAATATGAAGAATATAGAAAGGATATAGCAGAGCTGAAGGAACTGAAGCAGTCAGTTAGGGAACTTAAAGATGCAATAGAAGGTATCAACAACAGATTAGACTATGCAGAAGAAAGAATCTCAGAGGTAGAGGACAAAGCTCTTGAGATAACTCAGATAGTTGAAGAAGCAGAAAAGAAGAGAGAAAAAAACAGAACATTCACTGACAGAATTATGGGACTTTATGAAATTTTCAAACATACGAGTTATGGGTATCCCAGAAGGGGAAGACGAATGCCCCAGGAGAATGGAAGCCATACTAGAGAATATTATAAATGAAAAGTTCCCAAATATCACCAAAGATTCTGACACACTCCTTTCAGAGGGATATCAGACCCCAGGTCGCCTCAACTCTAACAGAGCTTCTCCAAGACACATTGTGATGAACCTGTCCAAAGTCAAGACAAAAGAAAAGATTCTTCAAGCTGCTAGGAGTAAGCACCAGTTGACCTATAGTGGCGAATCCATCAGGGTGACTGCAGACTTCTCTAATGAAACTTTCCAAGCCAGAAGACAATAGTCATCTACCTATAATCTACTTCAACAGAACAATTTCCAGCCCAGAATTCTATATCCTGCTAAGCTACACTTTAAAATTGACAAAGAAATAAAATCATTTACTAATATACAAACATTGAGGAAATTTGCCACAACAAGACCAGCTCTACAGGAAATACTTCAATCTGTTCTACACGCAATGGACCAACAGCAAAGTAAGAACTCAGAAGTTAGGTAAAGGACAGAACCTAACTTCCATAATGATGCAAAAGATAAAACTAAGCAATGGACTCTCACAAAATAAGATGAATAGAACACTACCACACTTATCAATTATCTCAGTAAATGTTAATGGCTTGAAGGCCCCACTGAAGAGGCATAGATTGACTGACTGGATTAAAAAACACAAGCCATCCATTTGCTGTCTGCAGGAAACACATCTAGCTTCAAAAGACAAATTATAACTCCAAGTTAAGGGTTGGAAGACAACTTTTTAGGTAAACAGAATTCAGAATAAAAGAGGAGTTGCAATCTTATTTTCAGATACATGTGAATTTAAAGCAACTAAAGTCAAAAAAGACAAAGATGTTCACTTTATATTGGTCAAGGGAAAAATACAACAAGAAGACTTTTCAATTCTAAATATTTATGCATCCAACTTAAATGCTCCTAGATTCTTGAAACAGACTTTACCCAGTCTGAGCAACATGGTATCCTATAACACCATAACAACAGGGGAATTTAACACTCCTCTTACAGAGCTGGACAGATCTTCTAAACAGAAATTAAATGATATAAGGGACTTAAATGAGACCCTAGAATAACTGTGCTTTATAGACGTATATAGAACACTCCATCCCACAGATAAAGAATATACATTCTTTTCATTGTCCCATGGAACATTCTCCATAATTGATCATATCCTAGGACACAAAACAAACCTCAGCAGAATCAAAAGAACTGAAATTTTATCTTGTATCTTCTCAGACCACAAGGCAGTAAAGGTGGAACTCAACTCCAATAAAAACTTTGAACCCCACACAAAGGCATGGAAATTAACAATCTTCTGTTGAAAGACAGTTGGATGCAGGAAGAAATAAAAGGAAATCATTAACTTCCTTAAGACCAACAACAATGAAGACACAAGCTACTAAAACCTGTGGGATACTGCAAAAGCAGTCCTGAGAGGAAAATTCGTTTTAGATGCCAAATTCAAAAAACAGAAAGAGAGCACATCAACAAACTCACAAGCCATTTTATGGAATTGGAAAAAGAAGAACAATCTAAGCCTAAACCCAGCAGAAGAAAAGAAATATCCAAAATTAAATC